ATTTATATTATATTACTTTATAGTTAATTATATACTATACTTTATAATTCTATTTATTTTTATACTAAAGGTTAAGTTTTTATTTTATATCTTTTTATTTTATATATAGTATTTTTATATCGATTCTCCTTTAGTTAAATATAGCCTATAGCTTTTATATATATTACTAATAATCTTTTAGTATACTATTATATTATTTATACTATACTTATACTTTTTTATATTTATAAACTCTATAGTTTAGGTATATATATTTATTATAATCTTCCTTATTATATTTTACTTATTATATAATTTTTTAAAAGATTAAAGGTTTAGATACCTTAAAGTAAGTAGCGTTATACTATTCTTTTATTTTAGCGTTTTTATAGATTTTATATATCTCTAAAAGATATCTTATTAATAAACTATAATTATCGCGGTATTTAAGTAGTATACTATAATTAGGTTCTAATAATATAACTTAGTCGTTTAGGTAGTATTAATTAATTTTCTAGTAGTTTAGTTCTATACTTAAGTAGGGTTTTAAAAGTACTTATCCTTTAAACCTAACTAGAAAGGTATTATATTATACCTTTATTTAAAAGTATATTATATAATCTAGGTAAATATATAATATCTATAAAATATACTTATAGTACTTATAAGTAAGTAGTATTTATAAATCGTCTTTAAATTCTCCTTATAGTTACTATTCTTATTATAGAGCTATAAAGGTATTAACTATAGTAATAGCTATAGTATAGTCTCCTTTATATAGTACCGGTTAATATTAAATTAGTATAGCTTATTAGTTTTCTATAAGAATTTAAGGTATTTATTAGGTTTTAATTTTAAGTATTTCTTTAAATTCTTCGATATATAAAGCGTGTTCTCTAATTATAGTATTTTCCCTTAATAGCGAGGGTAGTAGTATAAGTTCGTTCTTATCTTTTATTTCTCTAAGTATTTCTTATTCTTTAAAGCTTATATCGTTAATACTTTATTATTCCTCTTTAAGTTACTATTTAAGTTTTATAAGTATAAGGGCTATATCTATATCTTCTTTATTATATTATTTATAGACTGCCTATCGTTATTATTAATTTTTATTTTATATATCCTCTTAGAATTATTTACTATTCTTCTTAATCTAGTCTTAGGAAACTCCTTTAAGATAAGGGTATTCCGGTTCTATAAATTTAACTTATTTCTATATTTTAGGATCCCTTTATTATATTATTATAAGGGTTTTCTTTAATAGCTTTAAGAACTATCTAATACCGTTCTTATCGCTTAAGTATACTATATATTCGTCGTTATAGTATATAGTTTAACTAAGGAGTTTATACTTTAGTTCCTATCTATTAGTAGCGTTTAGGTATTTCTTACCTTTTAAGGCTAGTAAGGTTTTCTTCTTTTTATAAGGTTATTTATATTCTTTAAAGTAATATTTAAGTTTCCTATAATTAAAATACTTTCTTTTACTTTTCTATATTATATTTAGATCTATCCTACCTAGGTTAGTTATATAGGCATAGGTAATAAGAGTTTCGCGCTTCTTTTTATAGTTAGCGCGTTAGTTAAAGTTATTCTTATAATAAGGGTACTAGTTTCCTCTTCCTTATTTCTTTTCTTAGCGTTACGCGTACTATCTATCGTTAATTTATACTACTATAGTAATATAGTCTAAGAGGTTATTAGGTCGATTTTCCTTATAGAGCTCGTCCTTAACTTCTTCTTTAAGCCTATCGTAGAATCGGAATATAAGAAGTTCGTTGTCTTAATTAAGTTTTAAGGTAACTTAATAGAACTTTATAGTATAATCTAATACTAAGATCCTTTATTAGAGTTCTTAAAGTTTCTATTTAGCTTTTTATTCCTTATTAGTTATTCTAAATACCTTTATAATAGCTTCTTTAAACCTTTAAAAACTAGTAAAGACTTTATCTATCTTATTATCTTATTATATTAGTTAGTTATTAAGAAAATCCCTTATAATAGGCCTAAACTAAGCGAGTACCGTTCTAAATAAATAATTTCCTATATAGAGTACTTTTTTAACTAGGTCTAAGAGTTTAGTAGGGTAGAACTAGTAATAGGCCTTAAGTTATATAAGAAAGTCTCGAAGTATACTATAAGTACTATCGAATAGTCCTAGCTATTTTAGTTTAACTACTTCTTTAAGGTCCTTAACTTATCCGTTACCTTCTCTATTCCTAAGTAACTATACCTTATATCGAAGGGTAATAATCTCGCGTATTATATCCTAAGGCAATATAGTAGCTCTAGAGTTAGTTAATATAGTTTACTATATAGGTATATTAATAGTTATAATATTACTTAGAGTAACGCGGTATTATATTAAATAATAGCTTTTAATATATAACGACTAGTATTATTCTTAAGAGATAAACCTTACGGGGGGTTTATATTAGTAGATATAATAGGGCGTAGTCTAAGTAATAATAAGTATATTACGTTAATAATAAGTTAGAGGTTATAGACTATAGACTATAACTAAGTAATTAAGTAATTAAAATTAAAGATAAAATCGTAATAAAGATCGTAATAATTATAATATATTAAAAGCTATCGAGCTATCTATTTAAAGGAGTAAAAGTAGGTAGCTATATATACCTATAGAGACTATCCTTAGATTATAGTCTTAGCTATAATCCCCTTCGTAGCTTACTATAGCTTACTTATAAGCTATGCTCCTAAGTAGTAATCTATTTATATAAGGCTTACTTAGCTTACGTACGCTCTAGGTAAGCTAAGCTTAAGTAACTTCTCGTCCTAACTATTATTCTAAGCTGCTTTATTACGTAAACGTGGCCGGCTCTCCTATAGCCCGCTAACCGTAGTCGTAATAGCTACTAGCTCTTTTAAAAGCTTTAAAGGAAGCCATTTTCCTTAGCTAACTACTAATATTTTTATAACTATAAATTCTAACCTTATTATTATAGAATATAATAATATATAAACTATATAAATTCTAATAGAAAACGTAAAGCTATTAACCTAGCTATAGTATATCGATATCTATTAATATTAGTTACGCTAAGAGGTCTAAAAGGGACTTATCTTTATCTATTAGGTTCTAATAATATTAATAAAAGCTAATAGTCTTATATTAAGTTAGCTTACCTACTTAAGGGTATACTTACTTAAGGGCATGTCTCTATAATACTAACGCGCCGACTAACTTATATATTATTAATACGAATTCTTATATATCTTATACTTAATTATTATTAAAAAAATATTATTTAAATTAGTAATATCTTAGCTTTCTAAATATACTAATAATTAGCTTTAGAATGCTTTAGCTAATATTAAATTCGGTATAGGTTAGGTATAGGCTAGTCGGAAGTAGGGTATTCTAAGGACGATACTTTAAAAACGCCTTAAAGGTACCTAACTAAAGAGAGAGGTATATAAATACTATTAAAGGCTTAGCCGAGAGTAAGAGAAATACCTCTAAGATTAGGTTCTTACCTAAGCTGCCCTTAGGCTCCCCTTAATATATCTCTAGCTAAGGGAATTCGCCGGCCGTATTATTATAGTTATAGGCGACACCCGCCTACTTAGAAAATACTAGGTAGTAGGATTTTTAGCCTAAAATCTAAAGGTTAGTACGATTAAAAGTAAAGCTCTCGATTCTGCTCGTATTAACGGCGCTTTTATAGCCCGGATTAAGGAGTAGTTCTAGTTACTTAAGCTCCTAGCTTTATAGGCTATTCCCTTAGAATCACGCTTTAATATAGACGAGATAGGTATCCTCGAAGGCCTCGGCTATAATAGCCTTATACTAAGGAGCTTAAAGAAGAAGGAGACGCTTAAGAAGTAGCTTAGGTCGCGTTATTAGACTATAATAGTAGAATGCGTCTCTACTACTAGCCGAGCCTTAACTCCTCTTATAATCTTTAAAGGTTAGGACCTTTAATACTAATAGTTCCCTAAAGAACTTAACTTTCTAAAGGATTAGGACTTTATAGCCTCTTTAAAAGGCTAAACGAGCGACTCTATCGCTATTTAATAGCTTAAGTAGGTCTTTATCTTATAAATAAGAAGCTAGCTATAACGCAACGTCCTTTTAATTATAGATAGCTATAGAAGCTATTAGACTAACGATTTTATATATAAATGCTTCTTATATAGTATATATCTCCTTTTCCTACCTCTATACGCCTTATATATCCTTTAACCTCTCGATATCTTAATTCTTTCGCCGATTAAAGCTGCCTACTAACGTTAACTCTAAAAAATCGCTTCTCTTAACGATATATATATAAAATAAAAGGATATTTCTATAAATATTTTTTTTTATATAAGTAGTAATACTTTATTTTAAAAGCTTATAGTATTAAGTAATAATAAAGATAACTATAGTAGCTTAATAATTTTAAAATAAACTAAATAATATTATTATATATTATATATTACTTTCTTAAGGTTTTAAGTAAAATTTAAGTTATCTTAATAAATATATCTTTAAATACTTTATATAATTTAATAAGACTATAATCTTATAAAGTACTAAGAAATCCCTTAACTAAATTAACTATATAGCATTTATATAACTATATCTATAATAAAGTAGTATAGTATTTATAGTTATTACCTAAAAAGGCTTATTTATTACCTTTTTATATAGTAGCTATAACTTAGGTAGTAATTACTTATATAGCTTTTTATATAGTAAGTAGTATACCTACTATAAATAATAATTCTAGGCCAGCTTATTATATAATATAAACTTATATACTAGTTATTCTAGGCCTAGTTATAAGTTATCTAGAATAAAGGGTTAGCCGGCAGAATACTGCCAGATACCTCGCCAAAGCCAACCAGGGCACCTTCTTTACCAGCCCAACCCCGGATAACTAAGGTATCTCCGTCCTGGAGAAACATACGCTCCTCGCCGCCCTGTAGCTGCACTGCGACCTTTCCACCCTGTGTCTGCTCTAGCATACAGCCCAGCGAGGCCGAGTCTTCGCCGGATATGGTCCCCGAGCCTAGCAAGTCTCCTGGGCGTAGGTTACAACCGCTAATAGTATGGTGCGCAATAATCTGAGGCCATGACCATAGCAGGTTCCGGGAGTTTGTCTTAGAGATGGTTGTCTTATTACCTTTGGCAGCTAAGGAGTTTTTATTCTGGTAAGCGCAATGACTTATAGACGTCTAGGAATATAAGATTAAATAGGAAGAGGATAAAAATACTTACTAATAACGTCGACTTCAAGCTTAACGCTAAGGATATTATACTTGGCCTTCTCCTTAAGATAGGGAAGAAGAGGGGTATCATTACGGATCCCAGGACCCTTAGCATCTTTTAGTGCATCTGCAAGTATGACCCAGGCACTAATGCTTGTCCCTAGGTTCTTTGCCGTAAAGGGTCCAAGGGGAGCAGATTCCCATGCCTGTAGGTCTCTAGCACTCCAGTCGTTCATAAGGACATAGCCAAAGACATGCGATTCGGCGTCATCCACGGGAACCGGACTGCCCATTTTATTCTCGCGGCAGATAAACATGCCTATCTCTAGCTCAAGATCCAGCTTCTCGGCCGTAGTTAGGACGGGCATCTTAGGGTTTGCCTTAGGGTCCTTAAGGATCTGCCCCCACGGGCGGCGGATGGGCGTCCCGGATACGACAACGCTGCTGGCCCGTCCGTGGTAGGCCACAGGTAGGTGTAGGTAATTTGGGGTTAGGGGCTCGGCCGGCCCGCGGAATAGCATGCCGGCGTTATAGGCGTGATTCTTCCCGGCGAAGAAGTCGGTGTAGTCCCCGATGGCCATGGGCACGTGGTTGTGCACCTCGGAGCGCGGCAACAGCGCCGCCTTCCGGAGGCTCGCATTGTCCTTGAGCAGCTCCGGGTGCTTCGTCTCGGCGCCTAGGACGCCCTGCAAGTACTCGCGAACCACCCTGTGGACGGGGCGGCCGAGCGCGGCAAACTCGTTAAGCGTAGCCGCGGCGAATACCTTGGAGTGTCTTTTAGCCTCGGGTGACTTTGCAAAGCCGCCGCCTAAAGCGAACGCCTTAAGGTCCAGCACATGGTCACCAATCGCAATCGCTGGCCGCGGCACGGGGTCGGTCGATGTCGAGATGATGCCAAAGGGGATATTGGCGATGGAGAAGTCAGAGGTCGGCGAGATGGAAAGCCACGACATGATGAGGGCCGGCTCGCTGGCGAATGAAAGGATTCGGTGAGCGTGCGTGGTGTTTGGAGAGAGGAGTGAGTGCACTGGAGAAGAGAGTGAACTAGAAAATGGGACAGACGAGGGGCCTCTTTGGTGGTAGAAAAAGTAGTAAGAAATCGATATGTATAAACTTGTCAAATTTCCAGCTCCAATTCACCCACTTCAGCCGTAGAGCCTTGACCCAGGTGTTGATTCCGGCGACGTCATCGTAGCGTCGGGCCCCGTGGGATGGTTCGAAGTAGTTATAAACTCAATCAAAACTAGACAAACTCTGGTCGCAATGATGAAAAATAGGGAAGTGACCGGGAATTGTCTAGTCTGTAACTTACTTCGTAACTACTTGTGCACGTTTCCGGATTCCGGTTCACGGCTAGTGACGTAGCAAGGTGTACAGTACGGACTAGACCCTCAGTCATCCCTTTGCATGAAGACTAATAATAAGATAAGTTCTAGTAATTCGATACGTACTCCGTCCCGGAATTCATTACCATCAGGGTTGGCCTATAGGCTATTAACAGGTTCGAGCGAGGCATCTGTATCTATTGTTGAGTGCAGCCCCTGATTGGACCAGCTTAGCTTAGTCAGTCTGAGCAGCCCTCAAGGCTCGTGCCCGCGCCCACAGCTTCAGTAATCATCCATCACCTTCTTCCTTTTGCCTCTTTTCAACTATAAATACCCCCTCCATGTCACTTTGCTACATAGAATCCTGCATGCATCGTCGTTTTACAGAAAGGAGCGGAAAGCTAGGTCTCATATATACAGACATAACTGATGGAGTCGTCGTGGCCACGGAGACAGCTGGTTTCCGACAAATGGCAATTCATGGTTGAAATTCAAGACTGAATGGAAAAAATTGTTCAACTACACCTAGCTCATTGCAGTCGTGGCTTAAACTCCCTCTGCCGGAAACCTGACAGCTTCTCCTTTAAGCTCACCCGTATTTACGTGTGGAACCACTGCCCCAGTTGTCTATAGCGCTCCTTCCAAAGCGTCGGTTCGGCTCGAAATCCGCTGAGGCTTATGAGCTCAGTGAATTCACACTCCGGATTTGTGAACCTGGAGTTGGTCCCTAGGCATACCAGTACAGGTAAACTCGTCGCTAGTGGCCAACCAGGTCAAGCCCTCGTACTTGATTTCACTAACGACTGGGCTTTATATCATCACTGGCTCCCAAGTCCTCCCCTAAGTCCTTTCCTCCCACCGTCAAAGGCTGGCAATCCTGCAAGACAAACAACATCCGTGCCCACTCGGTCGGACTCGGATTCCGCCACGCATGCATCGTCGCCCGCTGCACAGCGATATCGCCCCTGCGCATGAGCCTTGATTCCCCCGAGTCCAGCATCATCTCCATCTGGCCCTCCAGCACAATGCCGTAATCCAGACTCTGGGTACGGTGCATCAGGCCGTCACGCCCGGGCGAAAAGTCCACCACGCGACACACAGTGCCGCCAGGATTCACGAGGCCGAGTTTCCCGGCCATGATGAGCCTCTCGTGCTCGGCTATATCGGCGTCTTTGTTGAGATTAACGGGGAAGTCGGAGGTAGTGTAGGCGACGCTGAAGCCCATGGAGTTCCCGTGAACGGGAAGCCAGGTCCCAGGGTCTTGGGAGTGGATGATGGCTTGGCCCGTGTTGTTGTGCGAGGTGATGTAGCGGGTGAAGCCAGGGAGCGGGGAGATTTGACCCGGATTGGCCATTTTCTTTGATATTATCTTTATTTTGTTCCCGGATATGTTTGAGGATGTGGTCCTGTGGGGTGATTCGAAAAGCTTTCAGAAGACGGCTGGATGGGTGGATGGATATTTATTTTACATTCAATCCGTCGCACAACATTCAGTATATTCCGAAACCTTGACGGATTTCCCGGTCATCGGACGCATCCGGTCAACTGACGGATCCGGTGATCCGCTAGACTTAGATGTCACATGCATTGCAGACATCAGTCTAGGATAACTTAACATCTCTCAAGCTCTCGCGAAGAGAGATATAGAGATTAAGTATAAAATGCACTGAAGGGAAATTAGCAGTAAGGGGTCGGACAGGCAGGACAAAGTTGTTTAATTCTTTAGAGGGCAATAATAGCGGTAGAGAGATAATTATTATATGTCTATATTTTCCTTTCTTTCCTTTATCTAACGCCTACGAGGGCATAGTATATATAAGAGGAAATTATCGTTGCGATGCCCTCGTGAGAGGGGGAGGAGGAGGAGGACGAGAAGGAGGAGGAGGAGTGGAAGATATATAATAGGATAAGTTAAAAGAGGCCGTCTAAGATAAAGAAGAGACATAGCGAGATATATATACCGATAAACTCCTTAAAAGATATAAGTAGGTAGGTAGGCAGCTAAGTAAGCAAGGCTTAATTAATAAAATAATATATCTTTAAGCTTTAAGCTTAAATATATAAAAATTATATAAGTAGCTTTTACTTACTTAGTAATTATAAGTATAAATAGCTTTACTTTATATAAAGGTAGTAAGTATATATTAAGATAGGTATATAGTTAAGGTAGGGAATATATATATATAATTATATAGTATTAGCGCTATACTTTAACTAGCTTTATTAACTTATTTTTAGTAAACTAAATAATTAAACTAGTAAGCGCGTTAATTAGGGCGTTAATATACTTCTTAAGGGAAAGAACTCTATTAAAAAAGTAAAATAATAACCTTAAGTTACCCTTAACTTCCTATATATAGTAAAGCCCTCTATATAATAATATATTATTATTATAAAGACTATTATACTATAAAGGTAAAGGTATAACTATTGCGAAGCGTAGCTTAATTTCGTAGTTCTTAGATATATCCCTTAGTAAGAGGGACCTAGGAAGCTAAAAAACCGGTTTAAAAGAAGGAGCTAAAAGGAGGTATAAAAAGGAGGGCAGGGGTATAAAGGGAAGTAAAAATAGTAATAGCTTCCTATAAAGATAGCGAGAGATAAAATAGATATACTAGTAACGGCTAGAATAAAGGGGAAAAAACTAGTAAAAAGCTCGGTAGTTAAGAGGATATTAATAGCTTCTTTAAGCTAGATTATCTTTATTAATTAAGATACTAAATAGGTATAAAGAGGGGCGTTAGATAAAAGAAAGAAGGATAATTAAGGTAATATAATAATTACTGCCTTACTATAATTACTACCCTTATAAGAATTAAATATTATTACCCTACCTATCCGACCCCTTACTTTTAATTTTACTATTATATATTTTTATATACTTCTTATATCTTTCTTTATAAGAGGTATAAGCTTAGGAGGAATAGAATTCCTATACCTTCTAGCTACTATAAAAGGTAACTTTCTTATATCCTTTATAGCTTCCTTTTACCCTTCTTACTAGAAAAGCTAATTTTTAACTAACTTTTCTACCCCCTTATCTATAATAATATTAAAACCCGACTCTACCGCCCTTATAGTCTATAAGACGATTCTTATAAAGCCCTAAGATAAAGGAAAGTAAGTAAAGGAGCTATAAGCTTATATAAATAGAACTATTTATAATTTAGTCTTCTTTAATAAGTAGGACCTTCTTAAGCCCCTTCTTTACTAGCTTATATAAGGCCTTAAACTTATAAAGGGCTATAGCTTATATAAACTTATATATAGGTCCTTATATAAGGTTAAGATACTTATACTACTTAATAAAGACCTCTTAGTATTTCCCTTTATTAATCCTTTTTTAGTATATAGCTTATATCTCTTTAACTTTAAACTCGTTCTTTTTTTCTACTTTAATTATAAAGAGTTAAGGATTAACTACTTCTTAATCTTTTTTATATTATTACTTATATATAGCCTCTAAGCCTATAGTAAGGCTAATAGGGACCTTATAAGAACGTATAAGTAATAAGCGTAGGATTAAGTAATTAATAACGTAAGCTAAAAGATTAGTTAAAGGAGTAAAGGGTAGGATTTCGTCTAGGATTTATAATAAGTATATAACGGGCTAAATAATATATTAAAAGAATAACGTTATAAAAGATACTTATAAACCTATTTATTCTATTTACTACTCCTAGGGAAATCCTTTATCTTTTATAGACTATTACTCGCTTATTAGTAACTTAATTAGTTAGCTTTCTAGTATATTCTATAGTACTTAAAAAGCTCTATTTATAGTATATTTTCTTAATTTAGTACGTATTATAATTATAATATAATAGTTAACGTAAGACTATAGGTTCTAGTATAAGTAGTAGATTTAACTAGAATGTTCTATGCCCTACCTATTCTTATATCGCGGATACCTTTAGAACTACTATACTAAAATAAGTAATAAGGTTTCCGTTCTACTTATAATTAACCTATATATTTTATATATATTTTTATTTATTAGGATAGGCTTATCTTAACCCGAATTTCCTAAAGGAAGGTATAGATATCTAGTATAGGTCTTTATCTTTAAGGGTTATTCCCTTAGACTATATTATAGAGCCTCTTTTTACTAGCTTATTCTATAAAGCTTCCCTATACTTATTATTTCTTTATAATAGTAAAATAGGAATATATGGGTATATTCTTATAGACCTAGGCCTTTATTAGTAGTCCTAGCTAGCTATAAAGCTTAGGGGCTTATAACTAATTAAGGAACGGGTAGTTATAAAGGTAAAGATAAAGGAAAGGTTAGTTTAGTTCCTCTTATATAGTGCTTTTCCCCCTTATAGACCTTAAGGCCTTTAGGTTACTCTTTTTTAAGCTACTTAGCTATTCTTATCTCTATCTTAGCTAGGAAAGTTAAAAGGGCTTCTCTTTTTTCCTTAGAGCTATAAAAAAAAGGTAGGCTAAGGGCCCCTTTTTATCTCTTAGAGGTCTAGTAAAGGACCTCTCTTTCCCTCCTATAGTTTAGGTACCTTAAGATAAAGTACCTAGCTATATAATATTATTAGCTATAGTAATAGTTATCTTAGCCTACCTTATTAGTCCTTTTTAAGAAGGGAAATAAGAAGCTAGCCTTAAAAAAGAGCTAGTAAAAAGCTAAAAAGGATAGCCTAGGCCTACTTATAAGGTTCTTTTCTAAGCTAAAAGCTAGGTAGGGGGTCTTTTAAATAAATATATAGTATTACGGAGTAGGTAGAGGTATATATATAGGTACCGTTTATAAGATAATATTAATAAGCTATATAGAGCTCTCTTATACGCGGCTAGCCTATATATATATATATAGGATCTAGCTCTTTATATATAACTATATAGCTTAGGCTATAGCCTAAGCCTATAACCTATAATAGTTAAAGACTCTTATATAATACCCTCCTTTTAGCATAGCGCGGCGTTACTTAATTAATAGCTTCTATACTATTAAGCCTATACTACTAGCTTTACCCTACCCTTTCCTATTAATTATACTAGCCCTACTAGCCTTATTATCCCCGCGCCTATTAGCTTAAGTAGCTAGAACTAGGCTCTATACTTATCGGCCGGCTAGCTATTTAAATAAGGGTATAACTTATTATATACGCCCCTAAGTAGCTAGCGGCTAGCCTAGACCTATATAAGCCTTAGGTTACCTATTCCCTTAGCCTTAGGCAGCCTCCTTTACCTAAGGGTATATAAGGCGGTATCCCCTCCTTCTTCCTTCCTTTCCTTTTCCTTCTTCTTTAACTATAGTAGTAGTAGTAATAGGTAAGTTTTACTTTACCTAAGGTATTAGTTTATTCTTAGCTATATAGGCCGCTTTATTAATATATACTTATAGTAATAGCTATAGTAGTAATAATACCCTTAATAATAATAACTTTAATTAATAAGTTCTCTACCTTATAGAGTAAGAGGCTATAATCTATAATACTAACTTCTGCGATAAATATATCTACCTCCCTCTCCCTTACTTCCTCCTTCTTAGAGTATATAGAGTTATTCGTTAATGCCGTGCTAGGCACGGCTAACGATAGCTCTACTACTACCGCTACTCCTACCCGCGCCCCCGCGACCGCGCCTACCGCCGCTACCTCTACCTTTACTATGCTAGCCGCCCTTATATTACTCTTTTATATAACGACGCTATCCTCGCCGCCGGCTATAACGCCCGGCCCCTCTACCCCCGCCTCCGCTTCTACTACCCTTATAAGTCCGCTACTTAGTAAGCGTAGTAGCTATTTTCCGCTAACTTCTTAAAGTATAAATACTAAGTATAGGCCGGAGCCGCCTACGCGGCCCCCTATATATAGTACGCGTTATAGGAGCTCCCCTACGCTAACTAAGTCGGGCGCCGCTATAGCTATAGTTATTACTAGTATATATATACCGGCCGCGCTTATAAGACGGCGCCTCCTATCCTACTCGCTATAATATTAGCTTAGAAGGCTAGCGCGTATAGGTAAGTATAGGGGGCTACTAAGAAGCGCCTTACCGCCGCTACCGCCGCCTACTATAATCTCCGCGCCCTCGAGCGCTAGGGCCTTATCCTTAAGTAAGTTCCCTTCTTTTAGCTCTTTTACTTCTATAACTAACTCTCCCGGTATTAGGGATACTACCTTTATTGCTTTATCGGCGGTCCCCTTAGCTATACCCGCTACCGCTCCCGCTACTACTACTAGCCGGGCCCCCCCTACCCCTAGAGCCCCCGGAGCCGCCGCTACCGCTAACTAGCTCGCGGGCCTAGAGGGCCGCCTAAGCGCCTTAGAAAGCGCCGCCGCCGCTAATAAGGTAGAGGAGGATAATAAGGATAAGGATAAGAACGATAATAAAAAT